CCCCACTCACGTCCAGCTCGTGTGAATGTGCAGAGAGCCCTTCAGCAGCATGCACTTGAAGAAATCATTGAACATGAATGCTGCTGCCGCATGGTGCTTCCTCAAATATCTAAAAGCTTGAAACTGCTACTGTGTATTATCACCTTGGCATTAGAACACCGGATCTTATTAGGCAGATGTAGGAGAAATACCAATTCCTGCAGCAAAGAAATCGCAAGTAATTTACAATATTGACCCATTCGATTCTCTGCGGTGTTTTCTGTTGTCCCCTTTGTTGTTCTTATGTTTTTCACCGTTACATTACAATGGACGGTTAAAATAATATTCCTCTAGGAGTGTGAGAACGCCGTTGCCTTAGGGACTACGATAATGAAAAGGCACTGGGCACGTTACAGAAGTGATGTTGCCCCCTTGAAAACCCAGGCAGGGCAGAATTCTGCCACGACAGAAGACCAGGTCTTTTGGCATCGTGGAGTTCGCCACTGTTGTCTCCCCTCGAAACACAGACTCATCTGGGGGACATCTCACGCCATTCTTAACATCCCTGAGCCCAGAGCTCTGACTTTCAAACATCTTTGGAGTGGCTGGGCTTAATTTCCATGCTGCGCAGAGACGGTGCAGGCTGTCCTCTACAGCTCGGCCGCACGGAGTGCCAGAAGGAGCAGAACAGGCCATGTTTGCAGAAAGACAGGCAGGTGGGCTATTAGTGAGACAATATCCTATCGTTCTGGAACACTGTCTCCAGGGTAACCTCTGTGTATTGAGCTGCATTCTTCTCATAATTATGCTGTAACCTCCACTTAATGGTCACCATCTGTGGTATTATTTAACTGTCAGCATGCCTCGCTGGTGCCTGATCCAGTATGGAAGAAAATGTTGCTGAGCAGCTCCAGTGGTGCAGTCCCTGATCTGTTGACACATCTAGACTGAAACAGACCCCAGTGCCCGCTTTCTAACAACTCTGTCCCTCAGTGCAGACCTTGCTGGTTTCGTTAACGCATTGGTTCACACTTCTGCTTAGAAGCCAGAGGGAAAAAAACGTTAACCAATTTGGAAACTCATTTTCTCATAATGACTGCAATCTTGCCCATCAACTGTACTTCATCAGAAATAACAAAACAAATATTAAATGATACTGTGACTGGATTTTTAAACAGAATTTAAGAAATGGGTGTTTTTCCATATCGATATATTGTATTAAACCCATAATGATCAGAACAATATTATTTAAAAGATTTTAAGTTTCATCTGGACAGAAGCTCATGTTGCATTTCTAATGAATTTGAATTGCATATCACATAGGCTATAGCACTGTGACACAAAAATGCTTATCAGTCACGTGAATTTTGCACTAAATTGACAAGCTAATTATTTTTTCAGTATTTGAAAAAATGTTACAGTACATCTTGTTTTGAGCTCTGTTGCTACAGTAAATCAAATTGTGTTTGTTGCACCTTTGCTGCATGTTTGCAGCGAAACCCAACCTGTTAAAACATGTCTCAGAAGTGACTTTGACCTTGAATTTTGATGTCTCAATTGTTTTATTGATTAAGCAGGAAGAGATGTGGTATAATATGTCATGGCTGATGTGAATTTCTACTTCACAAAATGAATATAATTATTTACTCTGGGTATTTTAGTTTGCTTTGTTCAGTTTCATTCTAAACTATATACAGTATGTTGCCTGCATACCTAAAAGCATAAGAAGGGCTGTAAATGAGAGGGCACCAGCTTCAACAACATGACAGGATAGGCTGCTGCAGACTTCCACAACCCTAATACTTTCATCCTCTTTCACCACAGAGCATATTTTAATCAGACAGTGCTTGACAGGCACAGACCTACAAGTACTGTTTAAGAACTGATAAGAATGAGAGGGAAGTGCTTTCTTTTTCTAGAGAGGAAAAGGGATGAAGGCAGTAAAACTGGCACACAAGATTTTTATATAGTAAATAGTGTAGATTTTGAAAGAAAAGATGTCAAACTGTCTAGCTGTTTGTTAGTAAGACCTATGGTAGAGTATTGTGTACCATTTTGGGCACCATGTTTGGAAACAAAAGGTACTGATGCTGTCACGGATGTCAGAAGGCATGCCGTGGAATGGCCAGGAGAGCAATGAAGAGCCTGTGCATAGTGGCAAAACGGAGAACAGCCCAGGCTCAGGAGGTCAGACGATGTCACATAGAAACCTATGCCCACAGGCCGTGGAGGAGACAACCTGGTGCTAGGCGGGTCTCAAGACATCCGAACCCTCAATGCTGATCCAGGAGCAAAGGGTGACCCGGAAATATGTAGCCCCACACAAAGACACACGGGAAGGAAAAGCAAAGCACAGGAAACTAGGAACAGGACAGAGTAGGAGCGCCCTCTAGCCGTAGAGGGCGTGACAGATGCCCTTGAATCCATTGGAAGAAAAGACACCAGACATAATCCCAGGCTGAAAGGAATGTTCTCCATTAACAGGCTAAAAGAACTGAACCTTTTCAGTCTTGTTCATAGAATATTACAAGAAAGCCTGAGTTAAGTATTCAAAATAACTTTTCCATGTTCTTGATTTTCTGAAAGTAACTGAAAAGGTTTAATGCATCAATCTAACAGGGGAGATACGCATTTTTTGCTTTGAAGATTCTTCTGTTTCAGCTTTCCTTTTGTTCTATGGTGCCTTCCCAGTGCAGGAACAATCCTAGCAACGCTTCCATCGTGATGTCATGTTACCATTTGATAACGCTGTGATTTGCCATAACGAGGGCCTGACTGGAATGATTTCCTTTTCTTCAAATCCAAACCTTTCCCCCTGTTCTGTCTGTGCCAAATGACAGTCTGCCACGTACGCCGAGGGAAAAGGCAGGGAAAAAGACCCTGTGCGGAGTCAGAGAGAGAAAAGCGATTATTTAGGCGAATGTAATCCAAATCGTGAGTCTAGAGTGAGGTCGGAGATCAGAAGCGGTAGGTCAGAAATCCAGAGGGTCACAAGACCGAGCAAGAAGTCAGAGTAAGTCGCTAACTGGAAATGTAGCTCAGGCTGAGGAAACCTTAATAGTGTGTGAGGACAAGTTACTGAGTGGGAGTTTAAAGTAGACAAGGTGAGTGAAGTTAATTAGTTAGTGATCGGGGTGCTCGTGGGTATGCGTGCGGTTTGTGACAGTCATTACAAGAATAAGAAAGACTAGCAAACGGAGCTCAGTGCCGTTTCTTCACTCAGGAGGGCAGTGAGTCCAGCATACGCAGCCCTACTCTGGTATATGAACAGGCAACTGAAGAAGGTCAGTGGTTTAGCATTCCACAAGTGCGGTCTCCATTGGTGAGCTAGAAACAGGACAGTCAGGGAGGCACTCGGGCTTGAAATGATGCTTCCTCCCTGAGTGAGAGGAGTGGAGATCCGGGTGCCACACACCATAAATCGGCAGATGTGTGTTTTACTCTGTGTAAATAAAGATCCTTTTTTCATATACAAAAGGAGGAGGGTTTTCTTCATTGTTTGTCACTTCACTGATGGTAAAACAGAAGTGGATAAAAAGGACTGCTTGCTGTGGTCATTTCTTCTCCTCAATGGCGCTATTTAGCATTCAATTTGCATAAAGCACAAAAATATCCACTCTATCTGAAAATAGAGGTGGAACAGATGATAATAGCAATTTAGTTTACTGGTGCAGGTCATTAGGGCTGGGATTCAAATTTAATTTATGTCATAATCTAATTTAAACCAGCAAAACAGCAGAATTAATTTTTGACTGACAGAGGAACATGACCTTTTTTTAAATGAGCCATTTTCAATAGCGACACTTCTTGTTTGTATTGAAACTGGTGTCCTTTTCCACAGGAAATATAAGTAAATGTAAACTTTGTTGGTTGTGTAAAACAGAATTTGTCACTTCACTTGTTTTTGCAAGGATTTACAGTATTTTAGTAATGGAGACCTAGGGTATGAATGTTCAAGGTAGTCAATTTTGTCCAGCTCCTATGCATATTACCAATGAACATTTGCTTTTTATTATTATGTAGATGTGGTATTTCAAAATCCCTGTAATTCCTGGAATGTTTACTATAGAACTAATTTATTCCCATGGGCAGTACAGTACTGATCATAAATTTGGTCAATTACTTCTATTAGTTTGCAATGAACCAAATCTAATAATAGCACTATCCTGATTACAGCTCTTTGTTTGTTATACAGTATATTGACTTTGGCACAGATTTACTAGGGCCTTCTTTTTCTTAACAGGAGGACGTTTCTCTCCATATGTTTTATTCTAAAGGGACCTGAAGTCTTTTATTTTTCACAGCTGATCTCAAGTGAATAAATGGTATTGGTACACACCAGCGCTAAGTGACGTACTGTAGATGCACTCCATCCTGACAGGTGCAGTCTGCTGGGACCGGTCACCCAGACTGACACAGTCCCTCCGGATCTGAAGAAGCTCAAGATGGGCCTGCACACTGGGTGACATTATGCACAGGACAGAGATAAATGGAGATGGCATATTCACACTATAACACTGTCACACGAAGCGCACCAGCAGTACTGTACTGTACTCACTCCTCGCAGAATTACTGTCTCCCACTTGATAGAGTCTGGTGAACAATCCACTACATCTCCCTTTATTTAAGTTTCATCTCTGCTGAATCTCCACGAATCACATTTATTTGCTCAACATTTTTTAAAATAGTCCTTTACAAACAGTGGAGAATGAAATTAAAGTACAGTACTATACCGTAGCGTTGCTTCCCTCGATGTCAGATGGTCAGACCCCTCAGAGGTGAGGTGAGAGTGCAGTGTTTCTTTTCATCATTTCTGCTATAAAAGGTAGCTTTAGGCAATTGCATATATACAATGAATGACAGCTGTAACAGCATTATCCTGATTACAGGTCTTTGTTATATATTGACTTTGGCTCAAATTTAATAGGGGTCATGACCCCTAACACATATCCACACTAACCCCAGATGTTTAAGTCAGGAAGAAAGCATAGTTTTAAGACTGATCTCTCTTATCTCAACAGTTTGATGACCTTAACTCCATTGAAGTATTAAAGGGTTTCAGCTTGACCCAAAAAAGAAGGTTACCACCAACAGAAAAATACGAGGTAATTGGTTGCCTGTGGTTCTTAAGCACATTCACATTGTGTTGAGATATAACAGCATGAATATAACTTCCTACACTTTTTCTGGAAGGCACAGTCGTTGTGTGGAAGCTGTGGTGTACACAGCACTCCTTTGTGTCTTGTCAATAACTCTAATGGTAGAAGGTAAGAGTCTTGTAATTCAGTGTAATGGGAGGAAAATAGAAGCATTTTCACAGCAAGCTGTTACATGAGAATGACCTACAGGGCCTGGGCATTTTACTCCAAACTTTTAAAGTCTTCAATCAGAGTTAGCTTAAAGCACAGATAATTAGACTGACATTCCTGTCGAAACCACTTGGCATTTCTGCTGACACTAATCATGGCAGTGTCGTTAATCGCATCCACAGAGTGTTTACTAAAATGGACATAAGAGTAAGAAACGTTTGTGATATTCTTCTGCCTATGTGCAGGACAGACCTCTCAGCACTGCAAGATGCACAATTTCATCTTACCAGCAAATTTATTTTGTATATATTTGCTGTAGAAGAGAAAGTGTCTGCTCTGGTTAGTTTTTGTGAACGATTGATGAATCCGATTACTAAGATAGACACTGCTGTAAAGCTTTGAGTTGGACTTTAATCGGAGAAACAAATGCTTGGAGAATAAAATCAAATGTGATTTTCTCATGTGACTTCAAAATACCATCTTAATGAGGTTTATTTTAAAAAAAGTGTCACTAAAGGTAACTGACCAGATTTGTGTAACTGTCTTTCTTATAACTTGTACTTTAAGTGTAGGCTTTCAATTCCTCCACCTAAAAACTCCAGGAGTTAACCGGTTCTCCACAGTCCCGCCATCCTCTTGTGTTCTAGAATTAGGAATATTCTTTGGATTAGGGTTAGGGTTGGAAAGGGTTAGGGCACTGACACCCAGCTAGATGTATTATCTTTGATACTTCACAACTCAGGTTAATATCCGGAGTTCTGGAGCTGCCTTGCACAGGCATGACTGATCATCAAGAGAGCGAATGAATGACTTCTGATTGACTTGTTCTCAAGAGTTCCAGGATATGTAAGACTTCAATCTCGTCTGAGTTCTGAATTTCTTCATTGGACATATTACCTGAAGCTCTGTCTGTTTTTTTTTCCCCCAAAGTCATTAAAAAATGTAGGTGAAAAGGAACTAAAAGACCTGTACACTGTAGATCTTTGTAATAATTCTAAATCCTAATTTGGCTTTCTGTTCTCAGTACTGATGAGAGGTTTACATTTTGTGGTGCATCTTTTGTAATCCTTTTCTTTTTTTATCTAATCCTGACTGCACAGCAGTTTTTATTGTTAAGAAAAGCAGTGACATTGAATCAACCTCTGTAAGAAATGGCGATGACATGTAAATGGATTTGATATTTTTTCCTGCAAGCATAAACTTGCATGATGAATCATAACTCAAGAGAGTGATGTTCTTTCTTATGTCTTATCTCAAGCAAATGAGCACCTTATAAAGTTAGCATGAGATTTCTGTGCTGAAACGTTCTTCTAGAGCAGTGTGCTGTACAAATTAGATCTTTTAAGAGCCTAAATTTAACTTTATAAAAGGCAGAAAGTGATACCGTTGTGTTAATAGAAGCCAATTCATGAATCTTGGCAGATTTAAATGATGATGTCCCAGTTACTCAAAGTATACATGGTTGTGTTGGATCCTTCACTAAATCAGATACTTTCACTGTGGTTTCTGCAATTTCTAAAGGCATTTATATTTAGATTATATATATTAAGATTGTCACAGACCTTTCTTAAGATGTAATTAGTCTAATTAAGATGTAATCAGACTGAGATTATGGTTATTGGCTCCAAAAAGCAGCTACAGATGTTTAACTTCAACGTCAAATGTTGACCAAAGAAAGAAACCTCAGTTTTATTTTCTACCCTGTGTCGCCATTCAAAGCTCATTGTGCTGAACAATTGATACATGACTGTTTCATCAAGGGTATGCAACTAGAATGCCATACCGACTGGGGTATCTAATAAGCTATGAAATAGGCTTCATTATACCCAGAATTGAGCATCTTATAAACTGAGCTACTCCTCCTGAGCACATATTGTAACTCCTGTCTTGAGTAAATTGCACTGGCTCCGGCTGAAAGTTAGTGTGGACTTTAAGGTTCTCCTTCTCAAATATAACGGTCTAATTCCAGGTTACTTAATGCAGACCTTTAATCCTACGCTGAATGTGAGATGTGCTGATTCAGGTTTTCATCCTGTAAGCTTGCCAAGACAAGGCTCCACACAATGGGCAGCAGAGCTTTCTACGATTGTGTAACTCACCACCCAAGCCCACTGGGCTCTGCGGCCGTGCACACTTTTAAAGCTTGATTAAAGACCTGTCTTTTCACTTTACTTATCAATAAAGACGTAGCTGATATTTCTTCTTTTGTGGGGGTTCCTTTAGAATGTCCTCATCCATTTAGCTCTGGCAAACTCGAGCAAGTGACAACTTACTCCCAGTTTCTTCTCTGCTACGTCATCTGCGCAGTTCGCCTCAGGCTGCTCCTTCCAGCCCACTGCAGAGTCTGCCGCTGCCCACTGGGGTTCCGATCTCAGGCCAGCTGGGGCTTGCTGCCTGTACCACCACCTGCTGGCTGCCTTGCCTTCCATCACCTTCATCACGTGAGCGGGCTAGGGGAACTCCAGCAGGGAAGGCGTGATGTCACGTTAACCGACTGAGGAAAACCAAACGCAGTCCAGGTGCTGGAAGGCTGCACACGGCAGCCTGGCTCTTTGATCAGGAAGCCTTTACCGCGCTAACTGCGGATGATAGTATACTGCTGGCGGAAATGGGAACTCCTTAAGGAAATCCTGCAAATTCCTCCCATGCAAGCAGTACGGGCAACACAGATGAGCCGTTGAAATGTGCCACTTGCAGGGCAACCTGCGAAGAAAAGGACACTCCCTCCTCCTTAGAAATCTCTCCAATACAACTAATTATCCATTGAACAGGTTTCACAGACTCCTATATCCTGCCTCATCACAGATAAAAGGGCCTTCAGTCATCGCTTTCAAACATAAGCTCCAAAGGGCCTTTCGTGTGTTACAATGCTAACAGATAACATATCGTCTGTCACTTGTCCTCATTAACACCATTAAAAAAACAAAACTGAGTTTTAAGATGCAGTGAAATGTAGACGAACAATTGCTCGTTGTCGCATGAATGTTCAGGGCCCTCTTAATTGCTGCTGGGAGAAATCGTAAAACGCCTGTGGCAACACGAGACCTGTCTCGATGCTCCTGCCGCTCAGTCTGCGGGTTCTGTTGCCCTGTTACTATTTCCAGAAGGCTTCCATTATTGCGCTCTGTCATGTAGAGTTCCTGCCGATTCGATTTCCTGAAGTGCTCTGAAACATCTTTCCCACAGTTATTTTCTGTACTTTCAGCCTCCCATTCTGTAACAAGATTTGGTGTCGGATCTTTCAGGTCACTGATAGACAAGTGCAGAATGGTTTAAGCATTTTTTAAAATAGAATGTAATACATAATTCATCTTTTGGCATTGAACAAATGAACAGATATTTTAAGTTTTTTTTTAGTTTTAATTATCCTTTATCATACAGTACAACGGACAAGGGCAGCTGGTACCATGTTGGTAGTATATTATTTTTAATAAAGTCAGTTCAATTTTCCCTATTACAAAAGTAATTAAAGTAAGTTTTTTGTTCTAATACGGTCAATATGTGTCATGATCACAAAGACGAATTGCTTACCTATAAAGCAAACATAACGATTTTGACCTTGCTGTCCCAATACTTTTGGAAGTCACTGAAATATGCTGAAAGAAGTTGTGAATACTTTGGATGTGGCTTCCTTCTGTTCGAAGCTTCTTCATGTGCCCATTTCAATCATACAAACGTATGGCAGGAAAGGACGGCTACTTGGACAGATGAAATCAGTGAAGGAGATCATGCATGTGAAATCCAGTCCAACTGGACAGATACAGTTGCCCAAGGCTGCAGACAACTTGCTTCATGTAAGAAAATATTGATTTATTCCTTCTGGAGGAAAGAGTCCTTAATGTGACTATATTGTTTTTTTTTTTTTTCTGGAGCTCAGTGTCTTAGATACGCAAAGGGATTTCAACATCGATGATTTAGGGATCTTGCGTTGTGCTGTACTCTAAGTGTTATTTTGAACATGCACATTGAAGAGAGAGACTAATAAAAAAAAGCGTGAGGTGCACACGATAGAATTGAACTGGAGAGGAAAATGAATGAATTTTAGTCAAGTTTAACTTTCAAAAGCAATTTTGTTTAGCTCTATTGGAAAAAAAAACAGACAATCAAAATCAAAAATAGCATGAAACATCTATAAATCAAGTGCAGAAAGAGTTTGTTTTCCACTATATTAGCATTTTGTCATTGTCCTCATCCCTGTCAGACTGTGAACATCTTACCCCACTGTTGTTCACTTACATTTATTATCATCCCTGCAGACAAAACACATCACTTTATCAATAAATCATTTCCACAACTGTTACACAGCTGTGGACCAAGTTTCATGGTGGCAGTGTTTTAAGTATTCTCTAAATTTACAATCTTTCATGTGATGCCTTTAAAAGTCAATCTTAAGTGGATGCTTATTTTAATGTTGGTTTTAATAATAGCCTATTGAGCCAAACAGCGACTGAGGCCCCAGCAATCCAGTACAGTAAATCAGGCCATTGTCCAGGAACTCAAGAGTATTAGTTTTATGCAAATAGAGCAATAATGGGAAAGTAAAATATTAACGCAGGGACAGCAGAGCTGAAAACCACAAAAAAGAGGTAGGCTTGTATATTCAGAATATTTATTTAGCATTTTTCTTAATGCAATGCATAGTTCTTTACATATTATATATATATAATGACATATTACAAAGCTGTATTATGATTTCAGCAGATTTATTAAAGCTCACATTCTTTCATAATTCTTTTCGGGTTAAATCACACAGCAAATGTATTAATAAAAACAGTGCTTCAGAGTGATGATTCAAA